AGGACASAGGTGTTGTAAATGACCTAGCTACACAGCCAGCGGGCACCAGAAAGAAGAGCTGCACTCGCCCAAGAACAGGCACTGGACAGCCCCAGGCACAGTTCTTAGATGAAGCTATTCCCAACGACATACAGGAGCCTCTGAAAGAACCTTCTGGTCAGAGTACAGGAGGGATAAGTGTACTCTCATACAATAATGAACCCATAGCTGAAATAAGAAGCATAGCATGCTTTTCCAAGAGCCTGATTCATCCGGTCTATTACATTAGACTTCTTCACAAGCTGCTGCAGTTCCTGACTGATTATAATTTAATTTTTCTGCAAAYACCAAATGCAGCCCTGGTCTATTTCTTTCCCAGTTCCTACCCTCTATTAGTTTTCCTCATCCTCCATGGGCATGACACTGCTCTCAGTCATGGCACTAAAAGCTGCTCACCCCCATAGCCCATAACCACTCAGGTTCTGGTATTTTACCCACAGCCCATAGCCCATAACCACTCAGGTTCTGGTATTTTACGCACAGCTTTAGAGCCATAGCTGCTGCCTTCCCCACAAAAGGCATCACCTGACATTCACCTCTATTGAATGTCACTTGCCATGTGCGTGTCCAGTCCCAGGCGTATCAGGTTCTGCGGTCCTAGGAGCCATCCTTTCTCTTTGCCAGCTTTGCTACCTCACTGTACCCAGGCCACTTGGGATAAACTGAATAGACAGACTCCTTTGAACCTTTACTTGCTGCCTTGCTCTCCCACCACTGCTGGAAAGCTTTACGTCTTACATTTCAGTTACCCACTTAAGCATATAAAGATTCTCCCTCTAATTCCGTGATGCTAATTCCTAGCATTTTAGTAAGATAATCATTTAAAGCTACAGATCTAAATAATGAGGTTTATTTTTTTAATGTTATTTTAGTCTGGAGATTCCTTCCTCCTCCTGGTCTCATTTCCCACCATTACCGATCAGCCACCGACACAGACATTCATTCTAGGAGAAGATAAGTGTATTAGAGAGATTAGGAGGGCAGAATTGATGAGTACCAGGAAACGCTTGAGGTGTTTTGTACAACAAAGCTTTATACATCTATGCTCAAACACTAGGAAGCATCTTTTTTTCCACCAGAGTTGAGCAATGTATGTTTAAAGACTTTTTTGCCTTCCTCTTAGGTCTCCAAAAATCCATCATTTTCACTTATGCAATGCCAGCTTCATTCATAAGATCAATCTCTCTGCATAGGTATTCTCCTAATTAAGGATGAACAGTAAGATTATCTGGTGACCCAGAGGAAAGGCAAGCAAAGAAGCAACACAAAAAGGATCCTTTTTTCCTTCCTTCCTTTACTTGTTTTTCCCAGTGCCCATCTGGGGCTTCTCACATGGTCCTTTCCCCTGCCCTTTCCCCAGAGCCCTCTGACTCAAGTCCAGGATGCCATCAGCCTGTTATCAATAATCAGTTATCAGTAAGTGGGTTGGACACTTGAGAAAGGGAGGAATTCACACTTCGACTGCTCCTCTGCTTAGAAGCCTTTAAATATTTAAGTTGCAATTGCCTCTCCATTTCCCTCAGCTCCTTTCGATGCCTCATGCACTATGCTAAGTAATCCCTTCAAAACTAATTCAAAGCCCCAGTGACAGCTTGTCCTCTTAGAGTTATTAGCGAGCTTCATTTAGCGCTTTAAAAGCCTTTGTTCCAAGTTCCTGCCACTGTCAGGCTGCCAACTGTTGTGCTCAGTTTCTTATCCTACGCTCTTCATCACCGTATTAGTAAGCACATCTGAAAAATTCCAGCATCCAGGTTGAGACTTTTAAAGCTTATTTAAAAAGAAATAAAATTGCAGGAGCTTGGTTATTACTTGGTAAGGGTTATTTGTATTGAAGTTATAAAATTGGAATCGGTGCTTCTCAGCCTTTTTGTCATCTAATTTCAAATCAAATTGTTCAGCACAGTCTTGCTATGGAACGGAGTGAAGCTGGGCCAGAAAACTGCCTGCAGTTTAGCATGGGCAGCAGCTTTCAGCCCTGCAGCACTGCTCCCACCCAGGAGGTATCTATCGGYTTAACCAAAGTATCAGTATTCGTACCAGTTAGCAAATTAACGCCCAGTAGATTAATTTTGTAGTCTGGTATGAGATCAACATTACCCAAAATTGAAATCAGAACTACGAACTAGGGACAATAAAGTTATGGCATGACTGCAAACATTGAGGTACATATCAATTAMTACAACAGCCTTAAACAGGCTTCATGACTGTCCCCTGCTTTATCAGTCTTTACCAAAGTAGCAGCTATTTTTGTCTGAATTAGCCCAATAGGTGCTTGCCTCCTCAAAAGCAGCTAACTTGCAAAACTGATCCTGCTTGTAAACATTTTTTTTTGTTTTGCTTTTGAAAGAACAGGCAGAAGAAGCAGCAGATGGTCTCCCAAGTACTATCATTCTTATCACTATTATTAGGAAGAGTTACAATCAGAATGTTTATAGATGCAGTAAAAAGCCACATTCCTGTGAGCATCAGGCCTAACRCGTCATAGGTCAAAACTGGCAGAGGAACAGAGCTGCTGGGTCTCCTTAGGGAAGGCATCAAGCTACTGGAGAAATCAGCCTTTGCCAAATCAAACCAAGCCTCTGTTTTTTTAAAGGAGAAGACATGACATGACCACCTCAATGTATTTTTATATGTCTTATGTCTTCATGGTGGAAAAAGTCCAAATACAGCCTAGTGATTCCTTTCAAAATACTCAAGTAACCAATAAGTAACCTAACTTTGCAACCTATAAGGACATTGCCCCACTATGTGCAGTGTGTTAAGGGAGTAATCTTTTTATTCCCCTGTGGAAAAAAAAAGAGACTCATTCAGGGGCGGAGGGGAAGGTGGAAGTATCAGATGGATCTTCTCGGCTATGTGAACTGCCAGTCATGTCACAGAGACAGGCTGCTCAGAACAACGGCCTAAAGAGATTCGGTTCTCCAGAACACTTCTCCTAGGCCTCCAAAAATAACAATACAATGAAAAACATCATGCTTTTTCAACCAGACACAGGAAACAGTTATGAAGTTTGAGCAGTATCATACTATGAAGTATGTTCATAGTACGAACTATTCAGGAAAAGAATAGTCACGAGTTTCTTTCCCAGGGATTTCTTGCTTGCTAAGAAGTGATGGTAACAGACTTCAGGTCTTACAGTTTTATAYGGCATAGCTACAAACAGAACTGTGGTTTTCAGGAGCATATGTGTGTATTTTCCCTTTAGAAGAGCCTTGCAAGTTTCTCTAGCATGTTCCAAAGGCTGTTCATCTTCCTCGATAACAAAACAACGTTAGCACAAAAGAGCAGTTTATCAACTCTTATTTGCTTCGTATTAGACCATATGGTTAGCATCGATTCCTTCATGAAGATGCCTGATCTTTTCAGAGAAGCTTTAGGTCACAGTGACATTGATTAGGGAGGACATGATCACAGTTATATGTTCAACAAGCCTCATAAGCCAGCCAAGGTCCCTGCTGAGGGCAGTTGCTGGAAAATACTACTAAAAACTTCTCTTGACTTGGAGGAAGTCTTAAGCCTCCACTGAACTAGTCCAAAACAGGAACTGGACTGAATTATCCGACTGTCCTATGTGCAGCCTGATAATTTTCTCCTTCCCCTGTGAATAGAGGCAAGGCTGAAACTATATTCAACAGGAGTTGAATAAAGCCTCAGTAATTTGTCAAACATATCTGACAGGCTAAAGTCTAAGCTGTCAATAGCCACAGAAGACACCGGATTTAAGCTGTGTGGCTGTTCCCTCTTGCAGGGGAAGAGGGCTTAAGAATGGCCTGCAGACACCCCTCAGAACTGAAGACAGACCCATTCCTCTCCTCTTCCACATTCCAACACGGAAATATAAATTCCTTTGGAGTCTCAGTGGTTTCCAAAGCAAGATTCCCCCCTCCCCTTTCCACAAGGCATGTCTTTAGTTTACTTATGTCCAGCAGTAAACTTCATTATTCTCAGGAAGTGATGCTTTGCAAGGTTGCTCATTAGTTAGAGACCACATTAGCTCCTCAAATTTGGACCCTACCCAGCAGATATCAGATTTGTTGCACTAATGTGCCAACGTTTTAGGGGGAAAAAAAATCTAAGAAAAGCTGTTTAGCTCCATATATTATCTTCCCCTCTTTCCCATCCCCCATTAGACACCAGAAAAGCCCATGTTATTTGTAAGGTTTTTTAAACATCAGCTTGAAGAAAACTGATCTGGATAACATCTACTCTTACAACAGAGCTACAAACTCTTTAGAAATATTAACTCTTACAACGTGGAAATCCACAAGTTACTGCTACGACTGTTTTTGGATTCGCYGCACTCTGACAGGCAGTATTTCTGCAGAATCCACACGGCGAGGAGAAAAAAAAAATCATGTGATACTGARAACAGTGAGTCCCTTTTGGACAAGCAACTGAGTTTTCAGCCTCTGAATCCCATGGTGGAGGGTTTAAGAAGTCACCATGCCTTTTTTTAAGTTGCGAAGTGCTTTTACTCCAAATTAAATGAATTTCTGTAGAAAGTTCACAGAGGGAACATACATGAATTGCAGTTTTGTGTGCTCCACTACAGCGGAAATGTTAACATCTTAAGTGCTCTATCAGACTAAACTGTTCTGAGCAAGACATAGGAGCATTTCATAACATTTATGGAAGTCAATAATATTCCTTCCTCCCCCATCAAACGTAAAATCCTAGGCCAAATATTATACTTAAAATCCTCTTTCTGCTCCTCAAAAAACAAACAAACAAAACAAAAAAGTATTAGAGAAATTAGAGAACAGGCAATTAAGAGATTAGTTCTAGATTGTATCTGCAAACTGAAAGTAGCAGAACACCTTTCACATGCATAGGACTGCAKAAAAATGGGGTTTTGTCTTCAACGCCTCTCTGAGAGCTGTCAGGCACAGGCACAGCACTGAGCTCTCGGAAGGCGCAGCTTCGACCCCCATCCCCAAACTGCCTGGAGATTAGCTACTTACAGAGAAAATGGGCAGGGTGAACCCCACTGTGTAGAGGACAGTGGATGTGATGGTACTGTCATGGAACGGATACTTGATGCTGTCATCATTACAGAAAAAGCCTCTCTGATACGGTTTTATTTTGGCCAAGTTTAGAACACCCAGGGGTAAGCCAGCTGTTGGGGGAAGGAAAACAAAACAGAGATACATGTTGTTAAATCAAAATTCACTTTTAAACATGCATGGAGGAAGCTATGAAACATGCAAAACTTCAGATTTGCCAGGCCAGAGCAAATTAATTATCATGCAGTGCACATGCTTACCAAACCCTTCGTAAAGAAGTTTGTCTTGTACCATGGAAAATGTGATGTCACCCACCAAATACAGAGATTAAGGAAGTGCAGAGTTCATAGTTGTTTCATCAGCACAGAGAGTTGCCACATATTGAACCCAGATTATGCCCAAGAACCCGAAATACCACTCACACAGCTGGCTCGCTACAGAGGGCAGACCACTGCTGTGCCCTCCTCCTCCTCTCCGTCAYCACCACCCTGAGACACCGGCTCCTACCTGCATTACTAGCCCTGTTCTAGACATGAGGGTGGCCACTGGTTACAGAAGACCTTGTGACACTCAGACTATTCAGAGTGAGGAAGGCAAGGTGTCATGCAAGAAGTCTTCATGCAGGTGAAGGGAGCAAGACAACGTCAGAGACACCAACAGGAAAAGTGGACGCTGAAAAGGACTGCATCTCGGAGTAACAAGACTCACTCTTGGAGTCTGATTTACAGAGGKTTTTTTTTTTCTGCATTCAAATAATTGTTAACMTTGGTAACATCAAAAGGGGCATTTCAGCTTCTGAGTACAAGTGCTAGCTTGCTGAGTACACACTGGTGCATTACTCTATTCCTTCTCTTGCAAGTTAATCTTCATTACACTGGAAATCAAGACCAAAGGAAACCAAGACCTCTGAAAATTATACTCAAAGCAGAATCAACTGGAGAACAGATATTTGCAGGAAGAGTGCTCAGGAAACCTGAAATTGTCATTTTATACTTYATTCTCCCCTTTCTACTACCCCAAACCAAGCAGCGGATCGACAATACAATTTTCAAAGCAAAAGTTAGATCCTTGATTTAAAACACAATTAAAAGCACTGCATCTTCTCCAGTATTCATGCATTATGCAATTCTTCATATAGATACTCTATATGCAAATACTGAGGTTCAGTGTCAGGTGCAATTACTGAAGCAGGAGAGACTGCAACTGASATACAAGCAGGGTACTGCACTCACAGCAGTCATGTTGCAAACGAGTTCTTCCCTTGGGTAGACACAGCTTCTGTTTTGGTAACACTTGCTAAAACAACACTACCGGATATTCAAGCACCTCATGTTAGGTCACATCTTAAGATGCTCAAGAACCTCATTTCTAAATAGTTTGTTAGCAGGGATGAGGCGAAACGGCGGGGTGTGATGAACCGCAGCCCCTCACACATCCCCTAGGGCACGGGAAMCACGTGCAGCTCCAGCGCTCGCAGCTTGCAGGACAGCAGCCCAGTCAGGCAGTCACGTTTCAGCAGCAGGACAGCATGAGACTCCCTGTCCGTTCACAAGCAGCCCACATGCCCAACACTGCTCCAACCTCCCTGCAGCCTTTCCAGGCTGTCAGCAGCCTCCTATGACACAGACAGGAATCTGCTCCACTGAACACCTGCAGTCCTCAAGAGCTGCCACACTTGACCCCCCAACAGCTGGGCACAGCGATGCAGCCCGGCACCCGAGCAGATGTTTAACATCTCACACGGCGCTGCTGCAAGTGGAACTACATGTGCTCAGCTTGAAGCCCAAACCTTGCAGCGAGAGATTATGCTACAGCTTTGACTCGCTGACATCTACAAGGGCATCCCYGCTCCTGCAGGGAGGAACGGCTCCGAGCTTGACAGAGCGCACGTGCCAGAAGCAGCCCAAACACATGCAGCCCCTTGCGTATGGGGGAAGCCCCAGGGAAGAATGTGAGTTCAGTGAGCTCCAGACGTGCTGTGGGTTTGCACGSCTGCAGCCAATGTTCAGCCCTCCTCAAGGCCACAGCTAAATTCCACTAACGTAAGTCAGTCCACGCTTCCTGTCTTTACCTCTGACATTCCACAGCCGCACTCAGGATATGGGATTGTCAGAGCTACTACCTACTTGATACACTTCTGTCTCCTCAAATAGGCCACTGGATTATCATATGTGGAAATACCACAGCCTCAAAGTTCATTGCAACAGCAGTCTGGGTTTTGCAGTTGATCTCCTAGCAGAGAAGTATCTCAGCTCTCCAAGAATCACCAAAAAGTGTTATTCCTCAGTGGGTTTACTTATTTACTTATTTATTTTTACATTTCAGTGTTTTTGTTTGCTTGGTGCGGAGGAAGCAATGTTTGGAGGTTTCAGCTCATTAGGAGCTGATTTAATTCTTACCAGCTGCTGAAACATGTCAAGTGCTCTGCATTGAAATCAGAACRTGCCCCAGCCATTAGTTCCAAACATCACAGAATTCTTCACTCACAAATCCCATTTTTTTCTGCCAGCAAGGTGCACGGATGTACAACAACAAGAGGGTTATCCCACTTTTATGGGTCATGCATTTTCTCAATGAAGATTTCTTGAAGAACTGGAAAGGGGCCACTGCATGAAAGTGCAGGTACAAAAATACCTAACAGTTTGACAAGGAGTATTTTAAGTCTACAACCAAAACAAACTCTGTTTGAATATAAGTTTACCTTGTTGGGTAACTGCAGTAAGGGGGAATGACTCATCTTCTAGTTCAGTTCAGACAGAAGCTAGAGAGCACTTTATTTTTAACTAGGGGCATTAATTTTTCAGTTCAGCTGCTGACACAGCATGTACTAGGGGCTCCTTTTTTGTAAGACTAAGAGGAGAAGACRCAAGATACCATTTAAGCTTTCTCTCTCACTGAGCAGCCTTCTTCACAGAAGTTTGTTTGAAAGAATTAGTTTGTGAGAACTTGTTCATAACCAGCTTTTTGTTTTCCTGGTGCCACTGCATTTAAATAACCTTTCTCATAACATTATTATTCCTTCCTACATTCTTTTCATCGACAGAAAGAGTATTTTTATTATGTCAAAATGATTTGACTAGATTTTGCATTCTTCCAAAATYGCTTTTGTTAGCATAGTGTATATGGCCTCAAGTTGTAATTAAGAAACATGCTTTTACTTTTAACCTCGAGATACATATTAAGAGCAGGGCTGAAGGGGAGGGCAGCATTAATGAAGGGGTCAGGTGAGGACACTTGCACAGAAGTGCCTGCCAAATTTGCTTGTGTAGCCCACAGAAAAACAATATGAGAAAATGAAATTGGGTAATGAAAGTCACTCACCCATCCTATACTTATATAACTAGGCCTTCTCACAGCAACCAAGTGAGGGACCGTTTGCCAGCAGCTGAGTAGCTCAGTTCAGGAAACAGTGTTTTGTTGAAGTGACCATATTTGCCTATATCAGCTATTAGCATTTTTATTTTTAACAGTGTTGCTCATTTTACAGGGCATGAGGACAACAGTTAGTATGTGTAAACTKGAATCCTGAAGTTTCTGTTATGACAGGAGCAACAAACATTAKTGTATATAATAATATAAACCAGTACCAACATTAAGTGCCAAGTACCTCCCTGACCTTTAAGGCTGCGCACGGACCTGCTGACGAAGGGRCATATTCAGATCCATGAATTTCTGTAGACTGGAGGAAAGGACGGGGGAGATTYAGCAATAGATTACAAGGCTACAAGTCAAAAGGCAGCCTTCTAGACAAACTCTCATGGCCACCCTCTTCACAAAGCACCTCTTTCCTTTTACCTAGCCAGCAGCAACCAGATAAGAATCAGAAGAGCCTCCTGAAGGGAAATTCATTCCTKAAAGTAAGTTAATCATTATTACTCATCCCCCTAAACAAACAACCTCCAACTCTTTTAAGAGACTGTTTCTGAGGTCCCACATGCTCCAGACTCACCAGAATGGAGTTGGAGCTCCTCATTTTTTTCCTGCTATATTTTGCCTAATTGATCTAGGCAAGGACTAGATCCTGGGCCATTTTCCTAGTTAGCAGCTAGAGACAAGCGATGGTCCTCTGGGAGTGATCTGGTCTCTCCCCCTTTAACTACAGAGTAGGGGGAGATCCCACAGCAAAGTGCTATTCAGGTGAGATGCCTATTCGGGATTTTGAAAAGGAGCTCAGGGAATCCTGTCTGCTGTAACATTCAGGCAAAGAGACTGCCCAACTCAAAACACTACAGAAGTAGAAGAGGATAAAAGGTTGAGGTTTGAAAACTTCACCTAGCAAGGAAGTATAAGATGGAGTGGCAAAAAAGAAGAGAAGAAAGGAAAGCAGAAGAGCTAAAAAAAAAAAAAAAAAAGTAAGCCAAGATCTGAGTGCCTAAGCAGAGGCTGAAGGAAAGAAACACTGGTAACACTTTTGGCTAGAACTACTAAGAAGAAGGCAAAGCATGTTTGCAGAAAAAGAAGTTAAGCCAGTTAAACATTACACAGGGCTATGCTGATAGATACCACAAGAAAGTTTCCAACTAAAATTTTCAAGTTCAAACCAGGTGTTGCATAGTTTCCTTAAAAACCCACAGACAATTCACAATAATATCAAGAACTTCCYGGGAATCGTAGTGTAATTGGTGCTGGACAGCGCGGCTTGATACAAAAGGTAGAAAGCATAGGGTGGGAGACCTAGGGAAGAAATTACTGTTAAGACTACCGTTCACCCACAAAAAAAGGATTGCCAAGAGATACAACAAGGCAGGAGGTGGAAAGTCTTTTGCAAAAAGTCTGTATCATTAAAAAAAGTTTATTTTCCTATATTTTATTAAACATGAAGCATTTAAACAGATGAAAGTCACAGGAAAGTAAAYGACATTCCACAACTTAACCTACAAACAGAAGTGCAGTAAAAAGGTCATATAGTTTGGTGTACAGTGCATGTAATAGAGCACTGCTACCTTGACTTGTGGCATTTGTCAAATTTGTAACTGTAGAGTTAAGTGCTTAAGTTAAAGTATAGGGGCTTTGATTCTGATACTGCGGTGTCCACTTGGTTTTACTAACAAGCCACATGGGATATTTTTATCTAAATAGACAAAAAAATCCTAGTGTTTACAGCTGAATTAGT